GATCAAAATTATAGTTTCATTCAGTACTGTGTACATCATTTAGATTCAAATAGATACATTATTTCAGATTTTTCTGACTTATGGTAATATAAACCATAAACTGAACCGTGAAATATGGTGTGAATTGGACATTTTTTTAAAAAACAATGTACAAATTAGCCTCAAACAACAGGCATGAGTTTTTTTTATAGCCAAGAAAGAAGTTACTCGCTAGAATAATTTTATCAAAACTGCTCAATCACAGACTAATTTTGCTTCACGATTCTTCCTGTAGGCTGTGGTATTCTCTAGTCTAAGACTAACTTGGGTGAAAATCAAACCATTTCTACTTGAAAAACCGACTGATCCCCCGCCCATATCTTCATTTTCCAAGCAAATTTGACTGGTCCCCCTCTGAATCCTTCCAAGTTTTCAGTGATCTCCCCTTTTGGGTTCTCAGTTACGACTGATCCCCCGTTTCGTTTTCCTAAAAATCAAGTGATCCCCCCTAAAATCCTCCCCTCCCCCCGCTCCCAAGACGATAAATAATGACCGGTCCCTTATCAATTTCGTTGACAATATTACAAACAACATATCAACATCAGCGCATGTCCTCATAGGGGACTATTTTGGAAGGCGCAGCTTTCTGGCGTTAGGAATTGGGAAGTGTGCTTTAAATAGAATAAAGACCTTCTATTGACTTAAATTGGGAATGCGGTGCTGCAACGGTTTTGTCTGAAAGCCATAGAAGTTTGGATCAGATCTAAAATGGGATGAAGGTATGAAAGCCAGAAACTATTATAATAATAAAGGTATCCAAATCTTGTGTTTTAACAAAGACCAATAAACTGTAATAATATGCTGTAATATAACTATAACTTTAATATGCTGTCTTTCTGCATGAAAGACAGCATATTTTTCTGGTTAACAGTTTGAAGCCGGTATCAAGGTATAAGCATATCATGCGATACCCCAGTTTTAATGTTTACATTGGACGGTGTCAGCCACATGTTGGTTGAGTCTACTAGAAACAAGAAGAGCTACTGAAGTTGACTTAATTGGAGAACAAAACATTTGGACGGATTATTTTCTAATCGGTTGACCCCATGCAAGGGACCGGTAATCTTGTTTTCGGAATCCGGGAAATTTTTGCACGTAGCATCCGGAATCCGCGGATTTTGAATCTGGAATACAGCTCGACAGGAATCCAGAATCAAGCTATAACTATTGGAATCTGGGATCCAGAAACCACATCGTGGAATCCAGTATCCAAGACTTCATGGATTTCCTTACTTGAAGAGAAATCGATCGACCTTTGATCAGTGAGATCTGAACAGCAACGACATGCTTGAAAAAAAAAAAAAAAAAAAAAAAAACAATTTAAAAACAAAAACACCTAACAAAAAAAACCCAAAAAAAAAAAAAAGTAGTTATTTTTTTTTTTTTTTACTTTTATCAACTTGTCTGATGGAAAGGTGTGCCATTTTAAGGAATAAACATGACACCGAGGGTTGTGGGTGTTTAAAAAAAAAAAAAAAAAAAAAAAAAGATCAGTTTAACACCATAACGCCTTATCTTAGAATCTCCAAATAAGAAACTGCGTAGCTATTTTTGCTTATCAGTGATTTTACCAACTGGAGTCTCGAAAAGGCCACCAATTTAAAGGACCAACCAAAACCAAGGAGTGCAAAGTTTGTTTTTACTTTAACTATATGGGCTCCTGACCTGACTGTGAACGTGCGGTAATTGTTGACAAGATCGTGGTATCGCTAGCCGACTGGGTTACCTGTGTCACTTTCCTGAAAGAGATCAGACAAAGGAAAGGGTGTTCATTCCTGAAAATTGAGGTGTATGAAGGAACAAGCTAAGCAATGTTTTCACCTTTCCCTGGCATCTCTTAATGCTTATCAAAATGAAGCGATGGCCGATTAGTTTAATAGGAATGATATGTCAAACACCAACGTGGCTTTAACGGGAGCTTTTGAATTAGTTTCTTTTGCCTAACTTTTTTTGCTGTTATACCATTGAAGCAAAACGAAGAAAATAAAAATCACTCAACAAAATTTGCTAAGGCCTCCATTGTTTAAGAACAAAAGAAAATAAACATCAGCTTTTTTGTTTTTTATTTTACTCACTAAAATAAATTAAAGGCTTTTAATATATGTACGTAAGTTAATATTTTGACTTGTTATGTGAAGCTGTTTATGCTCTTTTACGGCGTAAGGTGGTCCCAAATTTTTGGCTACAGCTGAAAAAAAAATACAAAATATTTGCCCTTGAAAGCAAATTACTGCGGTGTGAATGCAAAATTTACTAGCTGACCTTGCTTTAGAATTAACCCTCCGAGTCGTTTTAACAGTTTCGTAATTTGATAAAAACACGCATCATATTTGTCTCGTGCGAGCCAATGTTTTTTTTGTGCTTAGGAGATGCTCGCGCGGTTATGAAGTCCGCACGGTTTGGTACAAAGAAGTACTGGCGATCATTCAAATAAAAGCGGTAAATTATAGAAGACGTGCTGCCCCTTATTAAAACTGCCTAACATTTTTGCTAGTTTTCTTTCGTCCGTATGAGCATATGGCTGAAATCTCCATCAAAGAAGACACAAATTAACTATTCAGTTGAAGGTTTTATAGTAATCGTTCTTCGTGCGGGACTCTGAATCGAAAAGTGGGATTAATTTCACTTTTGAACTAAAGCGCTTGGAAGCCATTTTCTTCTAGTCATGTAAAACTTGATACGCTTTGCGAGACAGCTGAAGTTCTGTCCAAAAGTGGCAAAAAAGTCCCCGGACTTGCTGTCGGCTCCCTTTTAATAAAGGGAACAAAACAAATCCGCTTGAAAGCATAATAATAATCAGTTTTTAGCCACGAAATTGCTTTTCTAAAAGTTGTCACTCCATGAGGAAATTCGGCGGTTTTATTTCCTTTTTGGCGAAAGTGCAAGAGAATTACAATAAACTGTGCTTTTGTAGGAATACTTTGTTTGTTTTTTTGAAAGGTGGACAGGCCTAAAAGTGCCTCTGATAATTGCTGTGTGGGCAGATGTTCCCGTCCGCGTCTGGAGCGGATTTTATTTCTAAACTTTCAGACACAGAAAAGATAAGTAATCATTTTCATTGTTGGTTCAATCTGATGTCCTCGCCTTTGAAAGCTGTCTGAAAATGATATTAACATAACAACGAGTTCGAACTTTAATCGTCACAAAACATTAAGGAAATCAGGTGTTCTCGTCCGGTTGGAGCATTTTGTTCTATAATGCAACGATTAAAAACGTTTTTACATGCATGCATAATGTATGTTTACATTAAGTAGTATTTTAAGGTGAACAAGAGTTGAAGATCTGAGTTATAACTTTTGTACACAAGACGAAAGAAACAATTTCGCGTCACGCTTGAATCGTTACGTCACGCAATTGCTATTTCAACGCTCCACTTTCAAAAATGCAAAATAAATGGCTTAATTTCGGACCATGGAATATGAAAGTCTCCAAAAATAGTCAAGACAGTTGAACACCATAATAGACTGATCAAAAGTGAAACACTGACAAAAAGACATAAGGCGTGATGGACAACCTTACTCGACGTCGATGAAACTAACATCTGCCTACTAATGGCCCAAATTGGTATAAAGCTTTCCTTCATGTTACAAGGCCTGAGCAGTAAATTATAATTTTTTTGAAAATGAAACGCTGATAAAAGCAGGCCAGTCGCTTTCAAGGCCGTCAAAAGATCCGACAGGCAATTATTTTATCTGAAATATGAGTTGAAAGGCCGGTATAGTTTGAGGAAATTTGAAACAATCTTTGCGAATATTCGTAAATGGTTATTCGATGTTATTTATTTATCTATTATTTATTGATGAAATTCAACAACAATAAAATCAATTTTGAAAGAAAACGGTTAGTTGTGTTCCTAGAGGGAAAAAAGTTCAAACTTTCAACGCCGGACATGACTATTAAATAAAAGGTATTTATATCAGCGCTAGTTAAGATCAATACCACACGATAAGGGCTCGCATGAAATCCATCACGTTATTAAGGCGCGACATGTAATTTGGGCTAAAAACTAAACACGCTCTCTCCTATTTTAAGTTGCTTTATATAGTCCAAAAAGTTCAGCAGAAACTCAGCAGAAACTAAAGTGAAATAAAATAAAGGTTATGTTTCGCTTCATTATCGCTCGGCTTATTCAAAAATCTCGAGTTGAGATTTGCTTATTTATAAGTCCGTTTCTAAATTAGTCCCGTTCCCGCTTTCGCACTCTTAAAATTGTATGCCCTTATAAGTTAAATCAATACAATGTTATACATTTTCCTGCAAAAACGTGAATGTAATGTTCGAACTTATTTCCGGCGTGAAGGTTACACTTCCGGTCAAAAGTGTATGTTTAACATCACGCAAAACCGAACCCTTATTCGATAAATAGTTTTAATTCCCTCGATTTTTTTGAGGAATAAGACTTGGGAGGTACATTCTTGACCGCTATTTCAGATAAGAAAACTTAGCTCGCTTCCGGATCGAATCTCGAATCACAAGGGTTAATGTTCTCTTTTGCGCTACGCAAATACAGTGCGAGAGCGTCTTTGTGGTGAAATTTGACTTGCACTTTCCCAGCAAAACCACATGTGCGTGATCGCGTGTTTTCAACCAAACGATGATGTAAACATGCCAAAATTAGTCAAAGAGATCACATCAAAAGTGAATAAAAGTGGGCATATATCGTCAAAAGTGTCAAATTGAAGAGTCAACAAGTGTCTGGCGAACCTCGACCAATCAAAAAGCAGTTTCAGGTCATTTTTGACCAATCACAATGCGCCGGTTCAGCAGCACGTGACGACTTTTGCGGGTTTTCCCAGCATGCTCTTGATCGAGGCCGGAATTTCGAGTATTTGGCGCCGTGAGGTTTTCAGTTTTGAGAGAGTGGTTCATGGCATGGCCATCGAATTAGCGCTTCTTCCCTTCAGCGAGCAATGGTTGTAAGTTAAAAATTAGCCTTGTAACTCTTCAGGAACACTGCTTTGATGGCGGCGAATAAAATGGTGAACGGTATTGCCAGTCAAGCTGCGGAAGCGAAAAAAAGAATGACTAAGGAGGACGATGAAGGGTACGGTGACTTTCTAAGTTTGTCAATATTACGTGCCAAATTCGCGAAATTTATACGCGAAAATAATTTTAAATTTATTTGCAGCGCCGCGCGAAGGGGTATGAAATTTCCAGGTTGTAAAACCTGAGTTTTCCCGCTGTGTTTTAGCGTGTGTTTAATTTTTTGTGAATGTGTACTGTGGTTATACGGTTCATACACTTTTATATATGTATTCGAAAGTTGTTTGAGATGCTTGTCGCGTCCGTGTGTCTCGCTGGTTGCTAAACTTCCCTTTATTGTTTTTATTTCACAGCAAGCTCTTTGTGGGCGGACTTAGCTATGAAACTACGAAAGGTGACTTGATGTTTCTTCTTTAATTTTTCCCTACTTTTGATCAAATGTACAAAGTTTTAAATTTATGTAGAATGTCCCTGGGAAGCCAGCTGTGTTAAAATACGACGTTTTATTCCTTTCAATTTCAGAAACGTTGACGGACTATTTTAACAATTTTGGTGAAGTTATTGGCGTGGAAATTAAAATGGATGCGTTAACTGGTCGTTCAAGGTTTGTTCGCCGTTTGTACCTCTGTTGTACTGGGTCGCCAAGTCTTCAACTAAATTAACCACCGAAAATATACTCGTAATATTTGTTCTCGACAATATATTCTTTTGTACTCTTTTCCACGTGCGCGGCTGTCTCAAGGGTACATTTATAATGAATGGGAAAAATCAGCTCTGGTTTTCACACCATCGTGTGACAAAACACGCTGCTTTATTGAGTAACTATTAAACGTTCTTAACGCCTCCGGAGAATGAATGTTACGAGTTTTGTCGACCGAGGAAAATTAAGAAGTTGATCCTATAAAGTCACGCGAAGGGAGTCCGTATTGAAAGATACACGCTGGTTTGTTGTCATCTCTCAAACAATTCAAGTAAAAAGAACATTCTCATAACAGACCACCAGTGTCTCTTTCTCACTTTAAATACCCCCCTGTAGCGAGCCATTTTCGCGGTCAGTTCTTCGTGTAAACACGTACATGCGTTTAAGCACGCCATTACTGGTCGACATATAACGAAAGACGATCAGCGTGCAATTTGAGGCGCCGGATGAAGTTGTTTTGTCTCTTGAACTGTCCTACTTTTGTTTTCTATCCTCTCGATCTGATTAATATTTCTCGCAAATGGTCGATTTCCTTTCAACGCTCCCCGGTGAACGGCCGAAAACGATAAATTATCTCGAAGTTGGCACTGGCATGTGAACGTGAAGTTCCAATGCAACTGCGTTCTCTGGCCGTATGATAGCATTAAATTAACCGACAAGCGTGTTCTTGAACTAATTTATTGTTTATTTTCTTTCATTTTAGGGGTTTCGCATTTGTACAGTTTAAGGATCCGAAACAAGCTAACGCGGTAAAGTTCCCATTTTATAAATTGTTATTAACAAGGTCATGAATAATGCTGCTGCTTATTTCCAAATCACTTCTCAGGCAGGCATGCGGTAATTTTTTCCAAACATTAAAGACAATGAGTGAGGCGTTGCGTTGAGGGCTCGAAAGTGGCTTAACATATTATTCAAACTTTTGAACAGAAGCTACAGGTTTTCGCTGCGGATTGTTGTTTTTCGAAAAGTGTGGCGGGTTGATATTCTCTGTTAGTCGGGTGGCTTATTTTTCCCATGACTGAAAGTCAGGACAGGGTAATATTTTTAAGTGGCAGTCGACCAGTCACTAAGCGACAACGAATCGTGATTTTGTATTGCTTCTTTGAGGCAGATATGAACCTTGTCAGCTATGGTCACAAAGCCGTGACAAGCCGACCAATCGGCTTATTCTAACCCCTCTGGTAATATTGAGTTATGAATATTAAGTTCTGATGATGCAGATTTTTTGGAGGGCTTTTGCTACTTTTCCTTGCTTGTTACCAAGAAATGGAAATTGATGTGGCCCGTGGAATGTGATAGCCTTGGAAATAGGACATTTAGAAGAATATCCGTAGTTTACATTGGGGAAAGTGATATAATTGGTTGCATGACTGAAATGAAAAACAAGGATAAACTAACTTATTAATAAATATGAGCTGCTAGCAGTCACAATACTTATTTAGAGCTGATGACGTTTACAGCAAAAACTTATTTTACTTGCAAAACTTATGCTTTAGTGGAAAATTAATGGAACAGGTGAAATTTGTGTATCTCAAATTTCCATCAGTCTCTTTAAAACAAGGATAAATGTATGTAGATAACATCCATTATTATAATAGCCATTAAAATGAAAAGGAGGAAAAAAATGTTTTACTTATAAAGGAAGTGTTATGATATTAAGCTGTTTGTGACATTTGAGCAATAAATAAAATGCAAATGGCAGTTTTAGGATATATTTTTTTTGGCTCTCGAGGTCTACTTTCCGAAGATGAAGCTAATTTGTGACAACTTAATTCTGCTGAGTTGAACCTTAAATAGTACTTCCATATGCATATTTACCCAGCTGATAAAAGCTTTTATTTTATTTTTTATACAAACAGTTGGATCAATATCAATTTCATTATCACATAGCTGCATGAAGAGGAAAATTATTCCAAAACTGCTGAACCTACCGAAAAAATGGCATCAGCTGGTTTGAACTCAAAATAGCCTAGGACAAACTCCACTTAAACAGTAGGAATCCCACGTCAGGAGTTATCTTGGCCTAGAAATTTACAAGAATTCTTGAAATTGCTTAATCTTTCCCATCTTGTCCCACCCACATTTTGTGTTAATTCTTGTCACGTAAAAGGTTTAATAGTTTATCTGCCTTCTGTCAGGTTTGCCAAAAGCAATATCTAAGTGTTAATAATGGTAGGACTTTTTTGTCACAATTTTCTTTAAGTAAATACGTGTCATTTTATTATTGTGGGTAGTTAAATATGATTGCTGCCAGTATTGCTGAACCAGGAAGTGAAGCAATTGCTCTCAGTATCTGAACAAAACTTGATTTTGTTATGTTAAACAAGCTTTATTTAGGATATGTTGTTCTTGATAGTTTCAAGTTTAGCATCACAAGAGCTAGAGTTCTTACATTAATACTGGTAGTCGCAACAACTACTCAGTGAAATTGTCTGTTAAATTATATGCATCCAAGCTAGATTAGCTTTTAGTTATCTGCTAGGTGGCTTTTTAAGTACACATGGTCATGAAATTTTTTTGCTTCCTTTTTTTCTGTGCGTTATAAATAAATATAATAACAGTGTTGCTGCTGTTGCTATTTGTTGATAGAGTTCTCGATAGAATTTTAATGATCCTTGTGTCTTTCTCACTTTTTAAAGGCAGTTTTCCCAGAAAATTTCTAGTTGAGTGTGATGTTGCAATCATTTTATAATAAAATATTATATATTTTTTAGTCTTGATTAATATTGTATCTATTTAAGATCCCACAGAAAGACCAGTCAAAGATAGTTTTCTGTAGAATTTAAAGGGGAATTTTTCAGAATGAGAAACAGTTTGGCTTTTACTTTAAGGAGAGTTGTTAATGAATTTTGGGAATTGTTACAGATTCAAAGCATGACATGAATTGCAGGAGTTCATGACTTTTGGCAGGATTTTTCAGTAAAATGCTAAAATTAAAGCATATTTAAATATTGACTTTTAATGTGAAAGTGCATACAATGTAATTCAAAACTAGACCATTTGCAATATACACAACTGATGCAAAAAAAGTTTAGCTTTTCAAAAAGATGAAAATACTTTAACAAAGCCTGGCCTTTAAATTCTCTTTAATCCTCTTCAATAAGATGGTTAATTTCTTGTTGCAGGTCGTGGAAAAAAAGTCAAATTTTGTGGGTTTTTAGGGACAAATTTGTGGAAAAATAGGCCGATTTCACGGGAATTTCATGGGAAATTTCAGGGCAAACTTTGCCATAAAGCAATCAGTAAAAAATGGCTGATTTTGTGGTTATTTTCAAGGTAAATTTAGCTAGAAATCGATCGGTTTTGCCCTGATTAGACCAGCGTTTTTAATGTTTTTCTAACAGAGGTCATCATTTGCTCTTTCAACAACAATACGCTCCAGAAATGAACTAATGGCAAAGCCTTTAACATCTTGGCTAGTGCCCAGTTCTTCGCAACATAAACTATGCCTGGTAGTTTCAGGACGTTGTTTCCACATTTCATTGACGAAGTTTCAAGATAAATTTGCCAGTTTACAGCAAGTATATAACCCCAACAGCTTAAATAAGTTTCGAATAATTATATTGTACAGACATGTATTTAATAAGATTTCTACCGAATTTTGCGGTATTTTGCGTGTTTTTGTGAATTAAGCAGGATTTACCTGATTTTTTGGTTCCATGACCTTGCGAAATTTCAGAAGCACTGTTCTTGTAACTCTTAATTAAGTGCCCAGAGCTACTGACATCAATCTTCTCCCAACAATGATATTATCCATACATCTTCAAGAGAAAAGTTTAATGAGAATTAACAAAATGATCACGAAAGGTAAAATGCTTTGATATCTTATCAAATTCTCTCAAAACTAATTTTTTAAGGAAATGTATAGAGATCAGTATGGAAACTTTGTATGTGGATCCTGGGGCTTGAAGGGTTAATCCTGTTTTGGTCATCAGTGTAGCGAAGTGTTGGAATTGGTAGAGACTGTCAGGAACGCTTATTAAGACATACTTGGCAAATCTCAATACTTTCTTATCCCTAACCTGCTGATATGCTTGGTAGAGACTGTCAGGAACTCTTATGGTACTTGGCACATTTCAATGTTTTCTTATCCCTAACCTGCAGGCATGTTGGACTTGGTAGAAATTGTCAAGAATGCTTCTATCAATCGTACTTGGCACATCTCAATACTTTCTTATAGTCAGAACTGTAGAGGAGTCAAGGTTCCCCTTGATCATAAATTGCTCAGACATTTTGTACAACTTTATTGTGGAAAAATAGAAGGGGAATTGGTTTTATTACTCATGTTATTACACTACTTCCATTGTTATCGTGGTTGCATACATGCATGTACACTTGCTATATAATTGCGGGGTTTGACATTAGTGCCTGTGCTATGTAAATACATATGGCTTGTGTTCAAGTAAGCTGCAACAATTCTGTGAAGTTTTTTTCTACCAGTAGTCCTGATACTGACAAACAAAAACAACCCTTGCTGCTAATTAGACTGTTTCGTAGCATGATTTCCTTGGGTGGTTTCCTTTTGAAAATCTGTTGATTTATTTCCTGAAATGATTTTTTGAACATCACAATAAAGAGGATGCATAAACGACAATAAGGAGGATATGAATAAAAACCCTCCTAGCAGATTTTAGAGAAAAATGAAAAGAAAATTGTTTAAAATGGCAAGTTTAATGGCCTCGGTGAAAGAGAGTCAAAATGTACTTCCTGCAAACAACTAGGAAATTTAACTACATCAATAGCACAGTTGGTTCATTTCCTTTTTTTCATTCTTTTTAACTAAAGGTGGGGATGGGTTAAGGGGCGGGGGGGTAACCGAAGCAGGGCTGCACTTGAAACGAAATGTCCCACTCTGCCACTCTGACACCATCTTGGTCGGACAAAACAAAAGTTTGGTCGGACATCACCAAGAAAAATAGGTTGAACTTCATATCCTTAAAACTACTGAGCTATTGCATCCTCGCGATCAGACCAATACAAGGCTGTGCTGTAAGGAAACTTGAAGGATTACAGTAAAATTTCGCCATGAATGTAGGACCACCTTCAAGTCCTCCATCTTGAAATGATGAGGCGTGGAGCCACTTTAAACTATAAGGTGACTCTCGAAAAATGTGAACAAAAAGGAACATCTCTCTTCTTTTAAAAATTAAAGCATTATGCTACCTTTGGTGTAAAACGGGGGGTTCACTATGCTAATGTAAAAGAAAATTTCATTGCCCAGGTCAATGTTGCTTTGTGACTTTGAGATCGTCCTAAAACACAAAGCAAGATTTACTTATGGTAGATTTTTATTCTTCCTTACCATAAAATGATTTACATGTTCCAAAAAAATATATATTCTTCCGGCATAATGCCCGAACACTGTTGGGATATCGTCGGTCACTGGCAAATTTTGTCCGACTGTTATTTGCAGCCCTGGGAACAGGGGGAGTATTTAGTGAGTAAAAATGTTGCTGGGTTAGTACAGCTGTACAATCTGAACGTGTGTTGCCCAGATGGCAAGTGTTCCAAAAATTAAGTTTCCAACTGTATTACTGTTGAAAAAATATTCAAAACCTTCCTATGTTTTTTTTTCAGGTTTTGCAGCATACAGGACCTCATTTATTAGATGGAAAAACAGTAAGTTTGTGATTTATTATTATTATTGTTGTTGGTAAACATAAATGTTGTTAGACTAATAATATTATTGCCCAACTCGGTAAATCATATACTTACTGAAGTGCCAATTCTTACCGAAATGAATCTCTAAAAGACAACTCCCAATTGCAAAATGCTGTATCTATGCTAGGCTCTGCAAAAACTGTTGTGCTTAACATGGCGAGCCGCAAGTCTTAGCAACCAAATTTGCCCTGCAAAATTCTCTGAATTCTCCGCAAGACACTTATTGTTTTATGCTATTTCAGTAGCTGCCGTTGACAGTACAAAACCATGCACTTACACTGGGTTCGATTAACAAACTTGTTAAAAAACCAGATGAAACTGGATTTATGTGTGATTGTTGAAGCTTCGATTTTTGAACGTTCAAATTTGACAAGTGTTCGATTTCCAAATGCTTGGTTGTGTTTGATTGGCAAAAGTTTTGGGTGATTGTGATTATGTTTGATAACCGAACCCAGTTGAGGTCAATCGAATGATTGGAGTTCGATTGAGTTCGATTACCGAATGTTTGACTGACTAGGCCAAAGTCAACAAGGTGGACATACACCGTACCATTTCTGATTAGCAAGAACCAACTCCAGCCATTTCTGGTTTGTTTAAGAAATGTGTCTCCATTATAGAAGTGTCTGAAGCAAGTTAGGTACCTACACGTAGAAAACTTAACACTGTATATTCTTATTGTTTTAGGTTGATCCTAAGCCAGCAGCACCTATAAACAAAGTAAGTTGTTTTGTTGTATTTACCTGTAAAGAATACATTGCTTCATTACCAGTGACACTTGTAGTTTTTTCGTTGGATAAATAAGAAAGTACTTGACTTTGTCTCAAATTCTCCGACTTTCTTGAAAGGAGAGACTGTGTGTTAGTACATGAAGTGTATTATCGTTTTAAAGTTGTACTACATGAAGGGCAGTGTACTGCTGACCATAAACCTGAGCCTGCAATAGAGCTTTGGTGTGAATAACAATTTCCAATTAACTAATGATGGGTAAGGCTAAAACAAGCATCTCAGAGGAGAGATTAGTCTGAGAAAAAGCCAGCCTCTTTTTCAGTGATTTGTAGGTGAGACAAAGTGCTCCAGAAAAAATATATATGAAAGCTTGGATTATCTTTTAGCTGGTATGGAGTGCTTATTGTAATTTGGTTTTTCTCTCTGAAGCAGATTGTTGTAATAATTACAGTGTTCACTTATGTTGTCTTCCTATGTTTCAGCCACCTCATTTAAGAGTAAAGAAAATATTTGTGGGAGGTCTTAAACCAGAAACTTCAGACCAGCAAATTAGAGAATACTTTGGCTCAAAATATGCACCGGTAGGTTTTGATAATAGTAAGCAATTTTGTGGTCATTATTTATCATCGGATAATAAGTACTAGTGATCCAGGGGGTGCAGATTCACTTGGTGGTTCCAGGGTTCTCCTTAAGTGCTGGCAGCTAGCAATATAATAGGCTATTTGAAGGTTTGAGTCATCTACTTTTTGGGGAAATAGGGAGAAGAGAGAGAGTAAAAGACTGAAATTGCCCACAGCACCCAATTTCCAAGCCGATTACTTTTACATCCTAGCTGTACACTTTAAAACTTAAAGACAATCCTGTGGTTCTTTATTTTTGTCTTCCTATAATTTTCTAATCTTAATCAATTTGGAATTTGATAATGTTGGTTTTACTTCGGAGGACAGCTGGGGAAAACTGGATTAAATGAAGAATACTTCTCAGGGCATGGAGAAGAACCAGCCACAAACTTAATGCTCCATGGCTTATAAAAATTTATTCAAACAAGTCTTCAACTAGGGCAAATATTATTGTGCTTCTACACTTATGTGTATTCTTGCTAAAGCACAGCCTCGGGGTGGTGGGGTTGGAGTAAATCATTATCAGCAAAGGCTGCACAAAAATGATTACATGCAGGAATTATCCTGGATAATTGCACGTTACCTCCAAGTATAAATCGTGTTATGGTTATTTACAGTTATGTGAGCATGCTACATTGTACATGTACTTTATTATTACAGTTTGTATTGTTTGTTTGTGTGTGTTTTTTCTACAACCTAATTTTTTATTCCTTTTGCACTTTATCCAGGTGAAAGATATAGAATATGTCCAGGAGCACTCAACAAACAAAAGAAGAGGTTATTATAACCTACTGCCTTGACAATAATGACAATAATGTTATAGTTCACCCTGATGAATAGTGTATTTATCAGATTATGTTTTTCTAGTCAAAAGAACTTTTGCAAAAAAGGGGTAATTGTGGCCAGCGGTATGCTGCATAACATGAAGGTGAAGTGTGACCTGTTGCATCAGTAAAACTAGCATGGCCCTTTCGTCAAAAAAATATTATTTTTCTTGATGCAAGAATTGTAAAGTCATACTTCATTTTGTCTTCTACTTTAGTCATCTTTGTGCTATACGACCTAAAGGCAAAGTGTCGCTTAATGTGTCAGTTGAATAAGTGTCACCTTGTGTGTTGAACATTTTTCTTCCATGCAAGAAATCACGCTGTAGTTTCTTTGACAAAACAGGTTTTGTTTCATACTTGTGTATGACATACAGTGAGCAAGCTCATAAAATCGCAAGTGGACAACAGATATAAATAACAAAAAAATGTAAACACGTACTCTCTCTAGAAAGCTGTTAATTTTATGTTTTTATGTTTTATGGGTTTTTTTATGTTTTTGTGTTACTGAGCCTTGAGTATGATCTGTATAGTTTCTTTTCACAGTTGTTTTCTGTAACATTAGTGTCCAATGTAGAATGGCTGATAAAAAAGAGTTCAACTTTCTTGCAGGGTTCTGTTTTGTTTCCTTTGACTCTGAAGACACTGTAGATAAGATTTGTGACTTACAATTCCATCATATTGATGGCAACAAGGTAAGGAATTCAACATCACCCAAGTTTTTTTGTTATAATCTGTGAAGGGGTGGGGTGGGGTTGGAGGCAGCCTTCAGTAAGAGATGTAAAAATAGTGTCTTCAATTAGCAGTCCAGCCCATCTGATAGGGTGCGATAAAAAATCGGAAATTGGGCAATATTTTCAGGGTAGATTGTGCGATAAGATAGGACTATGATGCGATAAATTATGCAATTTTTTCAGGGCTAATTAACATTGTTTCACCAGGATTCAAAGGAGAAAAATCACTTTAATGTTGTTTAACAGGCAATTTGAATGTAAACGAATGATAAAACATCTGTTTTAAAACAAAATAGTTAAATTTGTCTAATTATCTTGACCCGGAAAGGAAAACAAATAGAAAGGAATAAAAAGGACACTTGTTTAATATTACATGACGCCGTTACACTGCTAACCACACTGCTTGTCTTTGAAATCAAAATGGCTGCCCAGTTACCATCATCGAAGGTTTCAGATGTCTTGCAAGGCTTTCTTTAGTGGTAAATCACCTTAAATAACATTACGATTTGGAAAATGTTTGATTAGAGTTAGAATTTATTGTTTACTTTTCCTGAATTTAGCATTCTTTTTATGAATTATGCGATTTTCCTCAAATTGTGTGATCAGATGCGATTTAAGGTCAATTGTGCAAAATCGCACCATTGTGTAATATCAGATGTCTTGTTAGCACTGCTTTAGTGCTTAACACATTGACACAAATAAAGTGCATTTCTTGCAGGTTGAAGTTAAAAGAGCTCTTCCCAAGGAGGTACAGCAACAACAGGCAGCGCTGAGAGCTGCTGTAGCAGGAAGAGGCATGCTCCCAGCTGCTATTGGTGAGCTGACCATAATATTCATCATGCATGCGCTGACAGAATTTAAAAAACTGTTTATGCAATTCTTCAGTAGAAGTGCAAATACAATAATATTACCTTTTTTCTTTGAAATGATTGAGCAGCCGCTACAGCTTTTGGAGTGGTACCTGGAAGAGGAAGAGCAGCCACAACAAGTTTAACAAGAGGTAAATGCACTCGACTGTACTGCAGTACAGTAAAAACAGTCTTAAGACCCTATTATAATAATTAAATTTTATTGTCATATTTCTCAGCTGCTCCCTTAGTGCTTTGTTGTACGAGTTTCTACTCGGGCCTTCCTGGAGTGGAGTGGCTTGGTGTTTAGGGTGCCAGACTTGTAGTTCAAAGGAGTTCAAGTCCTGCCTTAATCACCAGCTGGATAAAAGGTCTCGCTAGTCCAGAGGTCAAATCCTTGTTCACCTCCCACAAGTTGGGATTTTAAACCTTGTTAAGATCCATTTAAATTATTTGTTTCATTATCCTTAAATAGCCCTGTGCAAACCGGCACAACATTGTTGGCCAACAACTTCCAACATTTTTGGATGTTACATGTTGTGTCCATTTGCGCACACTGTTGCATGTTATTGTGTGTTGTTAGGAGTTGTTGTGCAAAGTTTGAAATCGCTCAAATGCTTAGCAATGTGCACACGGATGTGACCATTCCCAACGTTGCTGGGCCTCCCAACAATGTTGGGAGTTGTTGCGTCGTTTGCACATAGCTTTAGGGTGTATTTTTTTGCAAGAAATTTTGCATTTTGTGCAAGCCTGAAGTTAGGTCTAGCTGAAAATATTTATTATAACTCTTCTTACGCTGTCTGTTTATGGTGGTACATTTGAGGGGTTCAATAATCCCACCCTATTTACTCTTTTTTAGAAGTTTCCTTCTCCCTCCTCCCATATTTCCAAAATCTCTGCTGTAATTTAATGTAAGATCTTGGTTAGCCTGTTCCATGCATTCAGATAGTGGAGTGGGGTGTAAAGCGAAAAGAGTGAGGGATGGATTAGGGGCAAGAGCAAAGAAACGCCTGCAGTACTTTTTAACAAGGGCTTTTTCTGGTGTGCCAGATACTGTTATACCCTGTGATTGGTTCATTTTTTGGTTTATTGCCTTGCTGCCTACTTTTTAAAATTAATGCAATTCAGCAAACAGTGCAGTCTGTCACCCGTTGCTTGATTGACAGCTTTGAAGACCCGTTCACCTACAGCTGTGTAAAGGTGGGATTTAACTAGCCAACAAAGTGGGCAGAATGACCTTTTGAAAACTAATCCTAGATGTTCCCTCCATGCTCCTTTTCCCTCTAATTCTCCACTATCTAAACGCCTGGCCTGGCTAGATCTTGATTGTAAAAGTCTTTCACACTGGTTCTCGACAGGAGCCGGAGCAGCCGGGCTGAGCCTCACCTACAACCCAACGTACGCTGCAGCCCTTTATGGCGCAGCATTTGGCGCCGCATCAGGAGCTTATGACCCAGCTTTGTATCCAACAGCCTATGCTGGTCTGCCTGGTTACCCAGGCTACTCCCCAGGGACATTTGCTGCCGCAGCCTCTGAGTATCCCGGTGGAGGATATCCATACCCCTATGGTGCTGCTGGCAGAGATATTCGCTATCAAGGTATGCCAGGATTGCAGAGTAAGGAAGTTCTGAATGCATAGTGAGGGCAAAAGAATACGACAGACTTTCTGTTTCATGGTCATTGCCTTCATTATTGCTTTGGATAATTATTGATTGATTGGAAAGAAGAACTTAAGAATATTTTCTGAGAGTTTTTAACGAAGAAAGAACATACATTTTATTTGAATGAGTACATGTATTTTTTAATTCGTGCTGTGACGCTCTTGAAGGAGTCGATCAAGAAGAAGAATTGAAAATCTTTATACGAAAACAGCATACTTGGTCCACCATCATTTCTTTCAATTATTTCTGCATGTATTTATACGAGAAAAAAAGACAGAAGAAGATTATATTTTTTGAGGTTTAATTATTAAATATTATTCTCTCTGGGACATGCTTCTGGATAGTAACTTGATTGATTTACTGTTGGTCAAAATGAAAACATTCGAATCAGGAATTTTTTGCGAAATATTATTGTCATAAATAAATGATTAATGGATTTTTCTTGTTGTTCCTTGAAAAAGCACCAAAATCTCGTGAGAATCACAAGGGCTCTTTACTGATTACAATGGTTTATTCTTTCATGTCTCCATCCAAGAAATGTCCCAGAAAATTACAAATTGTACTTTTACATAAACAACACAGTCAAGCAAACAGCGCAAAGCTGCTGTCACAATGGTTGAACCTCATAGAAAGTAGCACTTTCAACAAAGACAAGTTATATTTTATAGAAAGTGGATTAGGATATGATTGTTCACAGCAATATTTTGATTTGTATCAAATGCAGCACGATTTCGTAGCTTGTTATTGTAGTTATAATAATGTCCACGTTAGAGATGTAGGTTCCGTATATTTGAAGATTATCATATTATCAGTCAGGTTTATTTGTGATTTTCATGAATCATTTTCTGCCTTTTATGCATTGGTTTTGGTTGATAATGCTCTGGTCATAATATTATTGTCTGGTAGCTAGGATGGTATGATAACCTCTTAAGCCCCAATGTCATCATACATTATTCTCATCAATATTCTATCAATAGCTGAAAGAAAATGTTTATGTGTTAAATGTCATCATATATGGGTTATTGTTGCCCGCACAATGATAATTTATTATAGTGCTCACTAAATCAGGACGATAAAATCCACACTCGGTAGATTGAAAGGCCAGGAAGTCAGTTTTGAAGCACGGTTTGGCCTGGAAACTCTTATCAGAGTAATAAGGACGCCATAAATTGAATCCATTTGTTTCGGTCTATCCAATCTAAAGCTATCTTGGCCTTTTATAATGGGCCCTGTGAGTAGACTGCAAGTTTTCCCTTATTTTTCTCATGTCATTAAACTTGTCTTCTGCGAGGAGTTGCAAAGTGCCTTCTTCAAATTCATTCAGTGTCCTTGTGAGAATGTCTTTTCCTCACTCGCATGAATTTGCTCGCTCTGCCTTCTCTGAAATTTATAAATAAAAGTCCTGAACACTACCTGTACTTTTAAACCAAAAGCGATAACTGTTATTGCAAGTATGATATTCAGTCAATTAGCCAGAACATATTGTTGTTTCTTTAGTGTTTTGACAAGGTCACCCAGCGGCTTCTGTAAGATTCACATGCAGGTGACATGAAGAGAGAATTTGTATTTTGATTGTTGGGGCTTTGTGGTTATAAGCATGATGTAATCAAAGTTAAGAGCAAGTTACCATGTTATAAAACTAACCTCAACCGTTACAGTTTTGTAGAGCATGATTCCTGCCTGTTGAACAAATCAAGTTTAGAGCATTATGTAAAAAACTGCTCTCAAGGGTAACTCTTTTCCTCCCAACTTCAGTTATAAATTTTTGCCAGGCCGGCAGTACAGTGCTTTAGCAGCAACCATGCCCAGTGGCTCGTACCGGCAGCTAACCCTTTTGCCACAGGCGACAAAAACATCATAGCTCCCGCACAAAACTTATAATAACTTGATGCTGGTTGAATGTCGTAGGCATAGAGATTTTGGTGCCCTCGCCAGTTTTCCTGAAACCCCGGCCGATTTATAACTCGACATTTTGAACTTTTGATAAGTCTCAAATCTTGTTAATTGTGTGTATTCAAACGACAATTAAACCCTGTCAAATGATAACATCATTGGATAATTTTGTATTATTATTATTGTTACCGAATGAAATTTAGGGTTTCTTAACCTCTGTGAGTTAAATAGTTCACTCTTGAGGGCAGGTTTTGGTAGAAATTAATGAGGTCAGCTGTGTTCTCAACACTGGATTGACATGCTACAAGATTTCACAACTTCTGGATTTGCTGTGGTTTGATTGAAGCACCTGTACCATCGATAAGCTGACCGTTATCTTAGCTGTTTATTAATACGCACAAAGGGCACAAGTTCTCACCCTGCGAGCACAGTTTCCTTTTCGTCTTCTTGGTCAAGGAGAAGAAAAGGAGGTTTTGCCTGAATATCGCATCAAACCTTTCGAGGTCGCTGCAGCCCAAACTTTTTGACTATTCAATCTTGTTTTCTCTCGTCAAACTGTTTTTTTTTTTTTCTTGAAGTGCGCGCATTTGTTTATTGATAAACCAATGGTCATAACCGAGCCTGCTGTAGCGGAAGCCGCTCGTTTCGATACAAACTCAAGCTGTGAAAATGTACAAAAATTTTGGTCACTTTAAGTATATTTTGCGAGTGAACAAGAATACATTTTAGGTGAATATCTTCGTTCTTTAAGCCCAGTACGTGGAACTACATGTATTTACACCTCGAATGAATAAACTTGTATAGGAACAACTTTGTAACGAAACGATCGGTAACCGCTGTAGCAAGCGTACAGGTATTAGGCTGCTGGGTTCAAAACTATATCCTAGCAACATGCCGCTTGAGTTCGCCAAAATCGAGCAAGAAAAAGAAAGACTCTGCTGCCAGGGTGACAAGCTTGTTAACTGAAGGTGAAATTTTTAGAAAGCAGCAGTAGCAGCAGCAGCTCTGAATGTTGTTGTAAATTAATTATACACAGCCAAACAAGACCCCAAGTTGCCGAGGGTTGAAAGGTAGCCTCTGGCGGGCCAGACTGGCCAGACTAACGTCAGCTGGGCATTAACGCGGAAGACAAGTGTGACCAAGATGCTGGTGTTATTCTTGCGTGCGTGACGAAATTGAACAGGAGGGATCAACACAGTGCCGCTTAAGATGTTTGAGTAGTTGCAAATTTAGTTAGAGCACATCAGGTCGTCTAAAGTCCAAAGCATTTCCTTTGCCCCGTGTAAGGTAATCAAAGACAGTCTTGGATTCTCGATTCCATGCCTTCCGGACTCCAGCTACTGGATTCCGGATTGCCTACCAGTGAATCTTGGATTTCGGATTCCAATTGTTAGCTGGATTCCGGATTCATTGAACTGGGTTCCAGATTCCAAAGCCCAGGATTTCAAATTCCACAAGTACAAATTTCCCGGATTTCAGATTCCGAATTGCCGTACAGTGGGCGATTTTCATGCACTGAACTGAAACAAGAATGAAAGAGTTTGTGGCAACCTCTGTCAGCAGCCTTTTACTTTCTTCTCTGTGTACAGTACATTTTTTTTTTCTCTTGACAAGCCATTGACACAGTTTATTCACGGTTTACAACCATCAGATTCCACCTTGTTTCGTGACTTGTGCTTCACTTAAAACTGCAAATCCAGAGGTTGTGAAACAAAATGCGATGCCGTCAACATTAAAATAATGGTAAACTGCCAGCTGTTAGTATAACTCAAGTTGTTTCACATCATGTGGTCCACCAAGAATTGAAAATGTCAGTTATCCATTCGTTGTGTACATAGACTGCACGTCAGCATTCGTTGATCAACTCAGGCTCTTGGAACTAGAATCCTTCTATTGCCAACACCGAGCAACATTGCAACTCTCATTCATGGTTCTGGTACATAATTATCATAATTATCAAAACTCAGGAGAACTCTGATAACCGCTTAGGTCTCAGAATGCTTAATTATGATAAGGAGCATTTTAAATCAAGAAGTTGTCATGTTGAAAGCTTAATCGTAGGGACCCAACAATAGACAATGGTAGAATATAAAACAGAGAAGGAAACTTTCTGAGTTCTGAATAGAATTAGAACTTGTGTTTAACAGATGAAAACCCCGATCTTTGCGTTCAGAAGACGTTTCATAGGTTTTTGTAGAGTGACTTTCGGAGTGCCGTACTCAGTTGTACATCTCCGTGAGTTTTGCAAGTTACATGTCAGACATTGTAGTACTGGATTTCATGAGCAGCATTATTGACTTTTGTTGGAAATGGAAGGATGGCTAGAAAGAGGGCATTATCTATCGTATATAACAAATCTTGCAAAGCAAGAGAAAGTTCTGTGCTGAGTCGCGCACAGTTTTCTTATTTGTATTTTTGAAGATGTTCAAATTTATTAGACAGTGTACATTTTTTGTCTTTTGTGTTCATATAGATGTTTATGATACGTTTTTTTTCCTTTCCAATTATATCTTGTATATTGAGTTTTGCGAAAGATCGAAAGGTGTTAAGAGATTTTGAGAATTTGATACAGAAAACAAAAGCTATTGAAAATTCGGAAGATATTTTTGAACATACGTTAAGGAAAGCTTAGACGCATGGCCTTCTTACGACTCGTGGTGCAACAGCTATTTTTCATTGCACCGAGTATTTTTCTGTGAAGTTTCTCGTGTTTAAGCTTATTTAGTTCACTGGATATCTTTGTGGTTGTTTTTGTTCCAGCAATACTTTGCGAACCTTTTCTCTACGTCCGACGAAATCACAAAGGCTGTTTGAGAAATTAAGAACAGGATGGGTAATTAGATACTGTATGTACTCCAATAAGCGCCGCGGCTTTTATTTGAGGGCGGCGTTTATCGAACTACGATATTTTTTATTGTGATTTTATCAGGACTGCGGCGCTTATTCAAGTAAATACGGTATACCAACTGGTTTACTCACTAAATTCTTGTAATTTCCTTTCTCTGCTCTGTCGTCACAACGTAGTTGCTCAACGTGTTTTCGTTACTCAAAGCATTGCTGGGAACTTTGACAGTGCACTATTTTAGTGCATGAAAAAGGCAGCTATATAAGAATAACAACAGACAAAAATGAGCTCTGTTTGACGTCGCCTAAATCGAATGAGTCTTTAGATGGCCTGAAGAAAGAGTAGAACAGGCAGAAGGGGGGAGGGGGAGGGTGGTTAGATGTAAGAAGTAAAAAGAAAACCAAAGTTGTGGGTTTCTTGTCTGACTGAAACACTTTACTTGTAGAAGGACATTTTTTAGTTAACAATAGTTAACTGTGTCATAATTTAACCAGTCATATAAGGTGTTGGGAATTTTCCAAGAAAAGGATAACTCCTTTTTATAATTTCTGTTTCAAAATGATCATTATTAAATGAAGGTAACATATTGACCATATGAAAGGTGATTAAGGTTTCATCGCCGAAATGCTTTACGCCCATAGGGTATTAATGAAATTGATAATCAGAATCAGAAACTGAAACAGAACTCTGTTTAGTGTTCATCTACTCTGGCATTTGCTCAGTAGAACACGTTACTTAGAATGATTTAACGCGATTAAACATAAATCATAAGGAAAACTCGTTCTCTGCCCAGAATAATTTAGTTTAGTTTACTTGTAATGGTTAACATACTTAAAGCCACACTGCTTACTTTTATATTGCTTCTCTCAAATATGGTATAATTGTTAATTTAGCGCAACGTCCTACGTTGGAGAGGGCAACTCGAAGAATCTTAAATAATTGATAGCTTAGTTTCTTAGTGGTTGGGTAGTGTTAGAGTGCCACGGCGCTTTTAATCTCCAGCTTTGATTTGATGTTATTAGCATTTGATGTAAGCTATTGACAAACATAATGTGTTAGTGAATCAGGTAATTGCATTATAAATTTAAGTTGATTAGTTGTTGTACACATAAATTCCAAGGGTAATTTTAATAAGTATGAATTTGCGCAAATATTGTTCTAGTCTCGATTATTTGTAAGCTGTAGCTATTTTGAGGGGAGTGTCTTGGAGAGAGACTTGTCATTAAATGTAAATGTAGTTTAAACGTAGGTTTAAGGCCCTAGCTATTTATTGTAACAGTTACAGCCCTTGTTAGTGTTGCTGCGTCATACTAGGGCAGCGGGTTCTACTAAGTCGCTGACCCTTGATCACGTGACAGATGCAAGTGATTTCATTGGCTCCTCAATCCTCCAGCAGAGAAGGAGCGTGGTGACCAGAGATGACGATGGTGGCTCCCTGCTTTTTACGCATGCGCACCCTTTGACGATGACAGGCCAGGGTGCAAGGTAAGGTGCACCTGCTACAGACCGACTTGAGCTGGCCTCGCTGTAGAGTCAACCTTCAGAGCATCTAAATGTTTGTAACTTAAGCTGGATAAGTCCATCATTGTAAAATAAACTCTGTGAGCACATTAAAACTAGGCCAGCCTCACAACGCTGTGTCTTTAGTTTGTGGTAATCTGATCAAGTTAAGTTTAAATTAATCCTTTGTGTAGATAAGCGCACGTCGCGGTGTTAATCTGTGTTCACGCTGGTTTCATTGTCATTAGAGTAAGACCTGCTTATGGTAAATACACATTAAAGCACGCAGAGTTGTATGGTTGGCTTAACACTTAGCCAGAGTAAATTAAGGAGAGCCAGGTGCTTGGAAAGAGTTACCAAGTAACTATGCACTGTAAGTTAAATATGTAAGAATAGAAAGTTTACCACTGGTAACCAATTAACACTCAACTCACAGCTTTAACTTTAACCTTTGTAGAAGGACAGCATAAAAGTAATGTAATACCACATTTACGAACAGTTATTTTAGTATTTCACTTGGAACTCAAGTGTTTGCAAATCTAGCGATTTTGTCTCGTCATTTCTCCGACCGACAATGAAATGTTCCCAGCTAAATGCGTTACTCTTTGTTTTATTTCTGAATGCGAGCTTGAATCCTAGTCTTTTTTTACAAGGTTATCTAAGCCACGATATTTAATGCTGCCGGTAGCCTTCGTTTCACGTTAAGAAGAAGTCGAGTTTTACTTTTTTGAGTTTCCATTTTGTGGACACTTGTGTTCCAGTTCAAATTTGCATGACTTGCGATTTAGTGTTCTTCCAAGTTCTGTTGTTCGTAATATATTTCCTTTGATATATTGGTATTGTTTTATTTTTACGTTTTTATGCTTTAGAGGTTGTTTTGTCGTTACACGCTGTAAGTTGTATGGTTTTTTTCCCCCAGTTCATCAAATCGTACAAATTTTCTATTAGTTAAAAAAGAGCCGTTTTCACCACGTGAAGTGCGCGATGACTTACTCTGGGAAGGTTATACTCACATAAGCCTCTTCTTTCGGTTTCAGATGCTTAAATCTTTCAGACTCACCTTTTAAATTTAGTTTGGCTTGTCAATCCCCTATGACTTTGTAATAAGATTGCCCAGTTTTGATACAAAATCCACTTCGTGATAAAGCTTTTACCATGTGATACAAACACTACTATTGTGTAACGCATCACGCCATCACACCGTCACACTGTCCTGAAAGGACCTGTAGCTACAGTTGTGTGACACATTGCCATACGTGATTGTATCAAGTCCTGAGAACGTTGGTATTTGCAACACATTCCGTGACACATCACTGACGGAGTGACAACATCCATCGTGACAACGTATGCCAGTGCGTGACACCACTTTTTGCGTGATGAGCCTGTGTTGGTTGTTCTCTATTGACATCTTTTGTTTCCGTTTTTGCTTCAGAACGAGCTAGCGCATTTGGACCGATACTGTCATACACCAGGGCGGCATTCCATCCTTATGCCCGCTAGCAACGACACACGACGCGAGTGACAGACAATGCACTGTCACGCAATACATGAGACGGACTTCCGGCGTTAGAGCAGAGGAACTATTTTATGGAGTTTGACACCATTTTTTTACAAGTACCGTGTGCAGATTGTGCTAGTATGAGAGATGGAACACTTTTTTAAAAGACTGCGAGACGAGTTGTCCATTCTTCGGTCCCATTACTACAATGTCCATATTCATTTTATAATAATTTGTTGAGTCCATAAAAACGGTTGTTGCACTTGCCACGGAGCGCATAACATTAGAGACATCAGTAAAATAATTAGCAGTATCTTATCGGGCGCCGCGTTTTAATACAAGGACATTTACATGGTCTTTAATATCACTTGCATTCATAGGTTAACAAAAAGTGTAATCATTATAATTGTTAGGCAAGTTAGGTTCCCCCCTCAGGCCACAAAATGGTATAGAAAGTCTATATTTTGTGCGTATCGTGTATAGTATTTAGTCTTTCAAGAGTTCTCTTCCCCACAAGGTGTAGTTTGCGTTCAAGTTGTGTTTATTTCCAGTATTCGGCCCTTTTGAGAATCTGAGTGGGATGTCGACATTTATTCATGCAAGCTCTCTATTTGGAAATCTCGACAAATCTCGCGCTGCCTTCGGCTCGCCTTGCTCGCTACTCGCGCGTAATCGTCTCTCTCGTGACTTCCAAATAGAAAGCTTTCTCGAGGGCTATCTGCTGCCAGCTTCGTGAAGATTTGCAATTTTAATTAAAAAAATCGAAGTAAATGCCTCTTGCAGACGGAAGTAAACTGCGTTGTTGGTAGTTTGCCGGAAATATGTGCTGTGTACACAGAAACTCAAAGTTTATCCTGAGATGTGAAAAACTTCTTTACAAACCATCTCGGGTTAAGGTCTTTTTTTGCGGCCAAAACCGTGACTTGGACAGCCGAGAAATGATAATCAAACTAAGGTACAGATTTGCGTAAATCTGCTGGCTTTCAGTTTGATACAATATTTGATGACTGTCATCCCATTCAGTTCCCTCTCTCAGGGCCACTTTGCTCCCTGCTTTCAGGGGATTTTCACCACACCCATGTTATTTTTTAACCAGCTGTGGTGTACTGTAGAACAGTATGTAAGACTCTCGGACCACCTAAAGTGCTGCGAAGAGAGAACTCTTGTCATTTTGTAGAAAATCACTTTTTTTGTTAGGTTGTGTTCCGTGCACTTTTGTTTTCACGATGTTCTACAAGAACAATAAAATTGTGAAATTGCTTTCTGAGTTGTTGTTATATAATCGAGGATCCTAAATAGAGTTCTATAATCCTGTCATCGCGACGCAAATTTCCCCACAATCTCGTAATCCGATATTGATTTTCGTCATCCCGCAGTCTGCACATAGCTCACCCTCATTTTGCTTCGAAATCCCGGAAGCTGCCCCCTCCTCTCCCCTCTCTCTCACCCTTGTCAAGAAGAGCCAACCGAGAGCAATCTGCGGAGGAGAGAGGGCTCATTTAATTTGAGGTTTTCTACAATATTCCAGCTTTGTTGACTCCACACACAAACGCCGAGCGGGATACGCACACTAGGGTAGGGTAGCATAATTGTTTTTGGCCAAAATCGGTTTTAAAACGAGAAATTATTACCTCTAGCGAAACGACGTAACGCAAAACAACCCGACACCCTTTAAACTAGTCAATTCACAACATAGAATCTTTCGTAGCAAGATGGCTGTTCATGTACCATTCCTTCAACTGCACTGTGGGTTCTTGTAAACGCGGACAACGATTTTCGCGGAATACGCGTTCCCGCAATCGCGCTTTGAAAATCGCATTTGTTCCAGGAGGATAGCGTCCATATAAGCACATACGCCCGTGCGCCTATGCACCCGTGCCCGTTATTTCCTTAACGAATTTTTATCATTTAATCGGTATAACTGCATGATATTGGTGTTCTTGCCCGTCTGAAGGGTAGAAGTCATCGCCCTTTGCTTGTAACCTCCTTAATGACGTCATTGTTTACCCTTACTTTCTCGTAAGAGACGGACCATTAGAAAAGTTATTGGGGGGAGGGGAATTTTCGAGCCGCAGGAATTTTTTTTTGTTATCAGATTCCTTGAATGAATTTTTTTTTTTTTAGGCCATAGCATGAATATTTTCTAGGATTAATTGGCGTGCAAGAATTTTTTTTCACTTAATTTTTCCTTGCACAAATATTTTTTTTGAACTTCGCCCCCCGCCCCCTCCATAAGTTTTCTAATGGTCCGTCCCTAGGCACTGTATCCTACAGATAACTCTAGAGATGGGCAAACTAAACAACTAACTATTGCATTTTCCTTCGTATGTATTTACTGAAAATGTCCTGCGGAAAACGCAAGAAAAGCGATTGCCGAGGCGACCCTAAACTCAAAAATTCGCTGCGAGAGCATGCTCCAGACCCCGTCAAGCGCCTTCGGCGTTCTACCTTTTCTTCCCATGGGTACACCTTCAAATTCTCACGCTACCCACCACCTCTGTGTTCTTCTCTTCTCCCCCGTCTCCCACCCTCTAAAATGGGAAAGGAAGATAATTGCTCGAAAAAGCATCACCCTCCAAACTGAGCGCTGCTATGAGAGCTCATCTAGATTAAAACAGAGGAGCTCGTTATCTCAGAAGAAGATCCAAGTGGCCTCAAGTTTCAAGTGCGAAACCACTGACATGAAATGATTTTTATTCTAATGCAAATAAAACTCATTTTCACATCAAAGTTTTTGCACTTAGCCTAGTTTTGAAAGTGAGAGTTTTTGAAACTCGGAAATGATCTCCGATTATACGAGAAGCTCAGATATGTAGTTTTCTGGAGAATTCCCGCCGGTTGTAATTTTCCCGAACCGCCAGCGCTGTAGTTATTGACGTGATAAATGGTGAGAAATTGAAGGTTAATATTCGCCATCAACAAAGTATTTAGGGCCTGTTTACATGGAGTGGGGAACCCCGGTCTAGTGGGGTAAGTTTCTTTTGTTTTCACGCTCTGGGAGACACAAAACAAAAGAAACTTACCCCACTAGACCGGGGTCCCCCACTCCATGTAAACAGGGTCTTAATTAACGCCCTTAAATGCACATTATAAATACCGCCAGTCATCCCATGCCCGATACACTTTTTATTCAGTTTTTACTCCAAGAGGTGTAGAAACAGAAATGTTTAACAGGTGCGTCATACTTAGAGGCCCTGCCAGGGTAAATTCCGACAAGCGACATGACTCAAAAAGTAGCGAGAGAGCGTAAAATGAAATCGCGACAAGAGATAACCTCCCTCGGTAAAATTGCGACAGCGACGGCAAAGCCGAGAATAAGCGACAAAGAGCGGTGGTTTGGATAACTTATCCCCAGTCTGAATGCAAAGAAGAATTAATTTTCCTCAATTTTCTTTGCGCTTCAGAGCACCTCTCTTGTCATTGAGCTTCAGTGGACC